CCCTGCATCGAGCGAGGCAAAGTAGGAGTATATTGCTGCACACATCCTACGTGCTTTCACATCAGGGTTCAAAAATGCAGACAATTTCGGAATTGCAAAAGTTTCTATTCGAATACTGATTAAATACAATAAAAAGGCAAAAAAGTTAGGAACCCGAGCTCCTTTCAGAGTAGAATTTTTCAACCTAGACCGAAGTAACTTTAAGGAACGCGGCGTACCAGTTTTCGTACATAGTCCCTCTCAGATTTCGCTTTAGCAGATTCATTCTTAAACTGGACACTTTCGACGGAGTAAGGAGCCTTTATGATGGTCTGATCAAGGACATGGATGTCTGGCTTCACCCAACGGACGGAGAATTGAGCATCACCCGGCAGCCTAAAATTTGAAAACCCACTTCTACGTACGTACGTCTTTGATAAATGCTCAAAAAGTTCCCTGACTTCTTTTGGTACGTCAGACTCAAAAAGTTTTATTCGCTCCTGTTCTTGTCTCTCATTGCGACTAGATCGAGCAGTCACCTGAAGCACCTATTACCCAGAGACGTAACTACCTTTTCTAAATCAAGCTCAGGATATGAAAACGATGAATTTTGTTTGACTATTTTCATTTCTTTGACATTTTCATGCCGATAGAGGAAGACATCGTAAGTATCATGCCGACCGGATTTGGCAGGGCGCTCTTAACATTTACAATACTTGTTATTCGCGATTTATTACTTACGAAACATAAAAAATTTTTTGTTCTCATCAGAACATAAGACTTCACCGTCCAGACTTTCGCCATCATCTGTGGTGAACTCGATATATACGCCGGGCTTTACGTTTTTCCACATATCTAACACTGACGCTAGTTATACCGGCTGTTTAGGAAATCTCTTCTTATAACTGGCGTCCTCGGTATGTGTAATGTTTAATTGTTAATCAGTTATCTTACATCGCTTCTACAGTAATTTAAAAAAAGCGTTGATATAATTTATATATTAATATATCCTTTAAGATGTTAATCATTTTTTTGTCAGCTTTAAGAAAATTTTATAGTTTTGTTAGAATCGAAAATAAATTTTTGTTTTCTAATATTATGTTTGCAGGTGTTTTTAAGTTTTAATGAATTTGTTAATTTTTTATATAAATTTTTAAATTTTTTTAAATTTTTAATGTATATCTGAATTTGCAAACTTTGCGTTACCTGTTTTTTACCCGCATCATTCGAACCGTTTGCTTTTGGTCTTATGATGGTGTTGGGGTCTTCAGTCGTTTATTGTCTCCGGGAGTCTTGTTGTTTTAAGGTTGTTTTTGTTATATTTCATTATTTTAGAATTTTAAACGGCTTTTGCATCCTCTTTTTATTTTGGTTGTTCCCTTCTGTATACTTTTGTTTATTCTTGTGATTCTCCTGTTCCGACTTCCGGAAATCGCTGAGTGGGTCTTTTTGAAATTTTTATTTCGCAGGGATCAACAGGAATTTTTCAAAATTCCTAGGGACTTACATGATTTGAAATTGCTTGGTGCTGCACTATTGAAATATAAATGCATTTGCTATTGGCGCATTCTTTTGACTATAACCGTTGTATATATATTGTATCCTTTTAAAATTATATCAGAGATTCAGTGTTGTTTTTCGTTTGTAGCTTTGGAAATTTTCGCTCTTGTGGTTTACTTCTTCCTTTACTCTAAATGCCTAAATTTGTTCCTTAACATTGTGCTTAGTCTACAGTCTTTCATGATTCCTGGTTCCGTATTTTGCAGTTTTTTACTGGGATATCTATTTCCCATTCCATTGGCTCTTTTCGTGATTGCCTTCGTGAGTTTTGTATCGCTTTTCACTTGGGTTTACTAGTGTTCAGCTGTTGGTGCATCATGCTGCTATGTTATTTTCGATTTTATTGGTGGCAATATAATGTTAAACCTCTTTCCTGAGCGTATTGCAGCGTGTCAGCAAATGGTGAGCGGTTGTCATTCTAAAATTGTTTTTTTAGATGAGTCGCTTTAAAAGCACTATGTGTTTAACTATATTTCTTTTTCGATTGAGTCCCATCATTCCTAATTGGTTGATCAATATTAGTTCACCGTTACTTGGTGTTCCTTTGGTTGATTTCTTTGTTGGAACCTTTATTGGTGAGTTTCCGTGCAAATTAACATTCAGTTTGAAGGAATGTGTCATATTTGCACCCATTTATTTCCTTTATTGGTGATGGCAAAGCACCTCATGTTTGTGCTTTTCTCCTTTTACAACAACTGGAGCACTTACTGGAATTATTTTCGATTATTAAACGAAAATTTAGGGTTATCTTTAATCTTAGTGTTGGAAGTATAATAGCGTTGAGGCTTTTTGTCTGTAACTGTTAGTCGTTTTTTTTTCGCTGCTCTGCCAAGAGAATGATTAAGGTGCGAATTTAATGCATTTATGGTTACTGATCTTGCGTCTAGAGGTCTTCGAATTTTTTCGGCGTTGTGTGTATTTGGTATATTGTTTTAACTTATCGGTGGGCTGATATGTATGCAAAACGTCTCGTTTTAGCAATGACATTTAGAACATCAAAACATCCTATCCTTTTGAAATTTACTCATCGCTTTTTTCACTTAGGTGTCATCCCTTTATCGCTGTTCTTTGTCAAGGCTGGAACAATGTTGCAGGAGTTAACTGATATTGGCGTTACTTCCGTAGCTTCCGTATACACCCTGGCGCTGTTTGCTGTGATTTCTATTGTACCCATTATCTTTCGAAATCAGATTGAAAGTTTCTTGTCGGGCTAGGTAATGCTCATACATTCCACGCCCTTCAACAGGCCTACAAGTTGTTTCTGAGGTTAGCTGACGTCTTATGGTGGATTTTTGGCGCTTGACATTCTATGAGCTTAGACCACTATCGAGAATTTTGTTCTACTACTCTACGTTTCATGTGCACTGGTCACAAACGGATAGTTCTTATTGGAGGCGGGAGGGTGTGGTAGAGCTCGTTTCAATTCAAATTCTCTGTGGGCGTCTTCTTTTTGGAGACGTTGTAATGTTATTCGAGCTAAAGGTTTAGCTGCTGGGATGAATGAGATTAATTAGCTTGTTAATAATGGCTTCGGCTCATGTTGGGAGGCGCGTGTTAGCTTTCAAAATCTTATTATTTGTTAACCAGTTAATTTGTTAATCAGTTAATTTCTCGAAACTCCCCATTTGTCGGACGAGGGCTTGGAGAATAAAATGTGCCCATGCATTAGTTAG